GAGGTGAAAACTGTCAGCCACCTCATTTACTTCTCACTGCCCTTCCTCTATTTCTCAAAATGAAGTACATACCAGAGAATATCTCTTGTATATCCCAGAAATCAGTTGACAGTATCCAGAGGAAAAACGCTCCCTGGAACTTAGCAGATCACCTTCCTGTGGTTGATTAAATGATCAATCCCATACGCTAACTAGCCTGAGAAAAATCTATTTACTATAAGCCATGTTTCATTTAGTATTGGAGGACTTTCATACCTTCATTAGGAAACAAAGACAAGCTTATAGTAGATTTGTACCTTCCCAGGTGCCCCCACTCCTCAAACCAGCACAATTGCACTCTCTTCCCTTAGGCAAGTCAAAAACAGCCCAACTCAATCACCTACGGTTCTACTGAGGAGCTCAATGCATATATAAATAAGGCTGCAAACAAGGATGGTCTTTCTTATTTCTATTCAATAGGGACCTTGGATAGTCCTGTTTTGATCAAAAATCAGTGTCAGATCCACTTCTCAATCTAAAAATACAAGATGCTTTTCCATTTAAAATTTCTCTCAATTACTGAGTCTTCATTACATAGTCTGAACATGGTGCATCTATTAAAAGCCCTTTAAAGCAAGATGTTTTCATTTCAACTTAGCCTGAGAGAAAAAAGGTAAATGCGATATTTATTCAAAATAAATCATAATTTCTGTGTGGAAGACATTTAGCTTGATAAGTTTTGTGGAATTCAGATAGTTTTTTTTCCTACTCCTAAGTAACGATTGAAAATATCATTCCATTTAGTAAAGATAGCAATAACTGACCCCCCCCCTGCAAAAAGACAAACATTAAGAAAAAGATCTAAAAAATATATTTCATGTGGAAGCAAAAATTCTACTTAAAATGTAAAATTTGTAGTTTAGTATAGATAAAAATTGAAAGCACTTCCTGGACTTGAAATGACATGACATGGCTCTGAATGTTACAGTTTAAAAATACTCACTAAGAATACAAGCCAAATGACTGCAGGATTACAAGTCCTCTCTCCCAGTTGTTCAGGTATTAAAAACAGGCACGAGTAAGAATAGCCTTCAAAAGAGCTGATAAACAGCACATGAGCACTAGTGCATTATACCCAGTGCGGCTACTGCACTGGGTACCTTTCCCTCCTTCTACCAAATTCCTCTAAATAATTATGCTGATCCTCCTCATTTGCCTCCCTCCTGCACACTCCCTTCTTTAAAAAAAAATAATAATAATTAAAAATAGTGTTAGTTCCCTGACCTGGTGGTTAAGGCAGTAGGGTCCTACACAGCCAACCACACGGTTCAAGTACCAGGCCTAGTGGCTTGAAAAACACGTTGGGCTCATGTGTGTGCCCAAAATCCCAAAAGGAGGAGGAGGGATTGAAGTGTGGCTATTTCCCATGGGGGTGAGTGGTGGGGGGAGGAAGTCTTTGCCCCTCTCTCTGTCTCCTTGTATCTCTCTGGAGAGCACATGTGTCCTATAGCTAAATAAATCTAAAACTTCAAATGAAATGTGACTTGAATGATAAGTGAAGGGCACATTCCAGGATTCCTCCTTTGGAAGCTCTCACTGCTGGACATCCTGATGCTACCTAGAACTCAATTTCCCACCAGCATTTCTGCGTGTGGTGAGTTCCGTAACACTACCTTCAGTTTCCCAGTAGGTTTACACGATGAGCAAAGCCAGTCCCCTGGCCACTCCACCTCTCCCCAGACATAACCCCACCCCAGTGATAGACCAGACTTTCCTTGCAAGTTCTCCCAAGCAGCTTGGCAGCATTCAGAAGACACTGCCTGCTAGACCAAAGCTGGCCTGGCCTGCTGCTCACCGCTTTTATGTCACCCACATGGCCATATCTCTCTACTCTGAAAACAAAATTAAACAGGATAAAGTCAAGCTGTTCACTATGCACAACAGCCAAAAGATGGGAACAGCATAAGTGTCCATCAATTGGTGACAAAGCAAAACGCAGTATGTCCAAGCAATGGAATATTGTTCCGCCATGAAAATAAATGGAGTACTGATAAGAGCTACAACATGGATGATCCCTGAAGACACTGTGCTAAGTGAATGAAGCCAGACACAATGAGGACATATGGTATATGGTCCACCTACATGAAATAGCTAGAAAGGGGTAAACTCATAGAGCAAAAAATCAGAGCAGTGGTTGCCAAGAGTTGGGAACAGGGGGACTGCTTAAGGCTATGGGTTTCTTTTTGGGGTGATAAAAACGTTCTGGAACTAGACAGTGGTGATGGTTGCATCTCACTGTGAATGCACAAAGCCATTCAGGGTCAATTTTATGTTCTAGGTATTTTATTATATCCTCCAAAATAATATTTTACAACAAAAACAAAAATCAAGTTGCAGGTCCACCTGGTTACTATTTAATTTTTCCCAGTTTGTTCACCACCAATATTTCCCTGTATGTGGTTCTCATCACCTACCTCCATTTTCTCACTCCTCAGCTCACGCTTAAGCCCCTGCACTCAGTTTTTTACTCCTAAAAGCCTCCTTGTGCTGGTTTCCAAACATGATGTTTTCATGACTCTTGGCTCTCTTGACCATGTCGGTTCCTTTTCTAAACTCTCTCATTCCTCACACCAAGCCATTTCTGGCTCCTGGTCTGTTCCCTGTGCATTGGTGAACGTGCCTATTCTGTCCTGCATCACTCTCATCTTTCCTGAATCAAGATGTAGTTCTCCCACAAATAAAAGTCAAACTGCATTTCTTTAGTGGACAGTACTATGAATTGGCAAAGTGACACTAGACATTTTCAAATAAAATCTGGTTCTTTCGCATCATCAGAAACACTGTATTAGTTTCCTGTTGCTGCTGTGACAAATGACCACAATTTTTTTAAGAAATACTTTTGCTATAGGGTGCAAGTGCTCGTCAGAGAGACAGAAAGTGAGAAATCACCCCCAAGGGGGTATGGCCATGCTGCAATCCCTTCTCCATTCTCTTAGGATTCTGGGAACACACACACACACACACACACACACACACACACACACCCCCAGCATGAGTTTCAAGCTGTCAGGTACAAGACTCAAATCATGATCAATACATGGGAGTCCTGTGACATAACTACCACACCATCTGCTGGTCCCGCGACCACAAATTTAAATCCACACAAATTAATCATCTTACCTTTCTGGTAGTCAGGTGCGAAACTAGTTCTGTTAGGCTACATTACTTTTATCAATAGAAGGTAAGAGGGAGGATGTATTTCCTTCCCTCTCCCCACTTTCTGGAGGCTGCCTGCACTCCTTCACTTGTAGCCCCAAGCTCCATATTCAACGCCTAGAGCCTGGAATCTTCTCTCCTCTTTGATCTTCCTCCCTCTTAAGAAGATCCTTATGATCACATTGACCCACCTAGATAATCCAGGGTCATCTCTCCCTATCTCAAGAACCTTAATTTATTCATGTCTGCTAAATCCCTGGCAGAGTAGTAGGTTCTGGGGTCTAGAATGTGGATGCTGTGTAGGGATGGGGCTCAGGGGATTTATTCAGCCTACTCCAAATACTCCAAGGTCCCCAGCACACACTTTGGCAGTAAATGCTCTTATACACTTTTCCAACAAGCAAGAAACCTCACCTTCAATATTTAAAAGGTTAATTTGTGCCTGGGAGCCAACAATTCACCAGTAATTCCTCTTCCAGATAATCACTTACAAATTAGCCTATTTTCTGGGATTTATGATTCAAGGTTATTTATAGTTCTTAGCAGTCATTCTCACTTCCCCTAGTATACTAACCTATCTGTGTGTATAACAGGTAAGTCTAACCTTCAGCTGGGTTTTCTTCTTACAACTGGGGCAGTACTGATGTTTTTGGCCTGCTAAGCTGTCTGTGTACTGATAATGCTTTGGAGCCACCCAGCTAAGTTCTAATGGCAGCCAAGTTGGCATGTATTTCCAAGAGAAGAAAAGTACTAAGTCAAAGACCATGAGGCAAGGCAAAACATTTGAGAGCACGCAATAAACAACATTCAAAAGATGTAAAAAGACAGTGGATAGAAATAGGCAGTAAAAAAGTCACAAATGCCAGGTACCATTGAGTTCTTAGAGGCTTCCCAAGTCCTTGGTTTTTCAGCTAAAAAGAAGTCTTTATCATTGGTTTGTGCCATTCGTTTAAGGCTTTCCTTCCCACCCTGCTTTTTGTGTCTTATTCCTCTACAGTTCTCTTAGTCCCTTGGTCATTTTCACCTCCCCTAGTATACTAACCTGTGTATACACATGTGTATGTGCACACAGGTACAGGTAAGTCTAACCTTCAGCTGGGTTTTCTTCTTACAACTAGGGCAGTACTGATGTTTTTGGCCTGCTGAGATGTGTGTGTACTGATAATGCTTTGGAGCCGCCCAGCTAAGTTCTAATGGCAACCAAGTTATTCTTAGCTTCTGACATCTAAGAGGAGTTTGCCTCTCACACTCCCCCTAGTGGCAGCCAATCTTAGAACATGGCTAAACCTGCTTAGGCCAGGGAGTCGAGGAAATGGAAATATTCCTAAAGTAAGTCTCAGGAGCCCACATACTGGTATAGATTTTACACCACTTTTTAAATGGATAGTTAAGTAGATAGTATCTGACTTCAGACACCATTCACTGTATGTATTAGGCGTTTACTTTTTTCCTTTCTGTGATCTTCTGTGCTTCTGTAATCTCAGAAATACAGAAATAGTGGATAGTCTGATAAAAACAACAACGACACACTCAAGTCCATAGACCACTCCTGTGGCCTTATAATTACGGGAGTTGGACCCCACGTGGCCAACCGCAGTTCAGGTCCCACACCCAGCAGCTTGAAGAACATGCTGGGTACATAAGCATGCATGTCCCAACAGGATAAAGAAACGAAGAGGGGACTGCACACTCCACTACGGTGACGTTTCTTTCTCTCCCTCTCCTGGGAAATGCACATGCACTCTGATCAAAAAAATAAACAGCTATACACAGCAACACAATTCATCTTTTTTTTTTTTTCTTCACATCAGACGTGACAGCGCCACATCATAACAAGGCTCAGGAACTCATCTCACACATGGTGTGAACGCCCAACCATCACACTCATAAACCACCCAAGGATCACACAATCAATCTTTAAAAAAAATGTTTATATAGTAAGAATAGTTCTAGAAATTTACCATTTTTGTAGACCTTGAAAACCAACACTTTATTTACAGAAACATATATAAATATATAAGACATAAATATACTTTATTTATATATTTATTAATTTACATGTTAAATATATTGACATTTAAGTTTTATTTAAATTCATATACAAATAGATTTAATCTTTTTTCTCTTGAAAAGCAAAACATTCAGGGTCATGCTTGCCTTTGGCAGTGGGATGGGATAGAGGAGGCCAACAACCTCAGTCCTGGCTAAAGAAGAAAGATTCATGTATATTCATTTTATTATAGTGCTTTCTAGCTTATGTGTATGTTACATACATTAAATATATCAAATTTTATCATTCAGATATAACTAGGTGGGGCCAGCAGGTGGTGTGGTGGTTAAGGTGCTGGATCTCCATGGCTGACTGTGGTTTGAGCACTAACTGGACAGCTTGAGAATCGCGTTGGGTATGTATGTGCGTGTGCCCAAAACCCTGAGAGGGGAATGGAGGTGAGATTGCAATATGGCCATCCCGCCCAGGGGGTGATTTCTCATTCTCTTCTCTCTGTCTCCAGGAACACAAGCACCCTATGGCAAAATATTATACATAGATAACATATAAATATATATATGTATGTAGGTAGGCAGATAGACTGACTTGGTCCAGGGATAGGCTGTTGGGAAGAGAGCACGACACCCTCTTGGGTTAAGCTCATGGATAATATCGTTTGGATCATAATTTGGAGCTAAAGGATAGAAATTTAAATCTTTTTCTGGATAATACAGAATATCCAAATATGTACTTGAAACATTCTTGGAAAATACCTAAATTATGAGAATACCCAGTAAGACTGTTCCTGAGCTTGGAAACTCACCTCTGACCTTGTGTCTAAGTCTCAGAATGGAAGAATTTAAGAATTTTGATCCCTCTCCTCCAGGACAGCAGCTGACCTCGGAAATGAACCCTCTTTCTTTCCTCTAGTCTGGTGAGTCTTTGTGTTAAACTACACCTGGGCTGGTAGGGTCCTGCCTGGGAGGAGTCTGACTTATTTCTGAGGCTTGATTCCCTTTTCTGAGCCCAGATTATGACTCTGGACTTTGGCCCTGACCTTTGTGTCCAGTGACTGGGCCGTGCAGCCTCTCTCCTCGTGACCGGATCTGTCTCTGGACAGCAGCTCAGGAGCCAGAGTTCTTGCACTGAGGCAACTGCACACCTGGAGTGGAGCTGCCTCCCACCTCCACCCTACCTGCTGGGACACTCCACCCCCCTTCATTGAATATCTTTTGTTCTGCTCTTTATAAAAGCACACTCACAATGAGAAAATAAATGTAATAAAAATAAACAAAATAAAAAATATAAAAAATTAAAAAAACATTTATTAGAGTCCCCTCACAGAAAGAAGCACATTTATGTACCAATATATAATTGTTACCTATTGTGCAGTATACCTCACTGTGCTTACTGTAAATCTATAATTTTTTATAAAAAATTAGCAAAAGGATGACCTTTCCTATCCCTAATTATCCTTCTACAACATGACATTTATTGGCTACATAATATTTTATTCATTCTAGTCACTATGACTGCGTAACCATCACAACAAAACAAAACAAAACTTCCTGATGTAAAAAGACAATCACCCTCGTTCCTCTCCTGACTCAGGACCTCTGTACTTGCTGTTCTTGTTACCTAGAAGTTCTTCACCCAGACCTGATTCATAACCTTTCCTCCTTTAAGTCTGTACTCAAACTTCTTCAGTACAGTCTTACCTGAGCACCCTGTTACCAGCTGGATTTCCCTGACTCCCTCAACACTCCCTCCTTTCCTCTCCTCCCCTAAAAACGTTAGATGGTTGACCATCTAACGTTACATGTCGTAGCAGATTTTATTTTTGGATTATACTTTTTTTTAAATTCAGTTATTTGTATTCATTCACTGTACATCAATAAAGTATACAAAATGAGACATTCCATCCAGAATACATTTTGTATTGGCTTGATCAAGGATATTACCATACATGTTATTATCAACAAATAATTTTCTATTTCTTCTTATATATTTTGCTTTTCCCCCCTTCATTCCCTACCTCTCACCTTCTGCCAATTCACCCACTCCTCTCACACTGTCTCTAATATCAAAAAAAGTTGTTTTCCACAACTTTTTTTCAGTTGATTCAATAAATATCTCAATTAATTTAAAAACTTTCAATAGCAAGCACAGTTGATATATACATATCTATGAACGCATGTCTGACTCTAGGCATAAACCTCAGTGAGTAGAGTGAACACACTATAAAGTAGCACCTATCTGGGGCTATATAACTTTCTGTAGTCTTAAATGGATATTAATAGGTATTTTTACTGCACGTTTTAAATTCAAAAAAAAAGTTTTAGTTTTAATAGATCAAAATCAAAAAATGTTAAGAGAAATTTGCTTAATACTTAAAGCCAGGGAAAAGGTTGGATTCCATTCTTCAAATCGTAGTTAGAAGAAGCTATCAAGAGTTCAAGAGAAGACAAATATCCTTAAAATATGGAAGCCAAAGCATCGAAGAAAATGAGTAATGTTTTAGTGGAAAGTCAAAAAAATTCTATTTTACTAGTTCAGCATCATGTATTTAATCTCTCTTCTATTGGATTTGCAGTATCACTGTGGTCTGATCTTTCCATTTAAATTCTGGAAGTTGACATTCAACTCCGGACTTGTCCCTACCATTAAGCTGGCCATTCCCTTTGTTGTTTTTTTTTTTTTTTTTGGTACCCTTTTTTCTGTGTGTCTGATTTTAGTTTTCCTGGTATAGCACTCCCTTCAGTACTTCTTGGAGAGCTGGTCTGGTGTTGGTAAATTCTTTCAGGTTTTGTTTATCTGAGAATATTTTTATCTTTTTTTCCCATATGAAAGATAATTTTGCTGGATATAGTATTCTTGGTTGAAATTGTTTTTCACTTAACATTTTGAATATATTTTCTCATTCTTTCCTTGCTCACATTATTTCTGATGAGAGGTCCGACGTTAGCCTGATGGGATATCTTTTGAAAGTAACTTGACGTTTGTCTCTTGCCAATGTTGTATCTTGTCTCTGTCTGTGGTTTTGGTCAATCTGGCTATAATGTGCCTGGGGAAAGATCTTCTTGGGTTGATTTTTTGTAGGAGCCTTTGTATTTCTTGAGTCTGGATATTTGAGTGCCTCTCTAGGTTTGGAAAGTTTTCTCCTAGGATTTCAATGGAATAGATTATCAATGCCCTTATTAGTCTCTTCACCTTCTGGGATAATGATGATCCAGATATTTGGGCATTTAATGGTGCCTAGTATCACTCATACACTATTCTCATTTTTGGGGGTTATTTTCTCAGTCTTTTTTAGACCTGTCTAGAAAATCAGTATGTGAAGGTTGAGCAAAAAAGTGAGAAAAGTAAAAAGAAAAGAAAAAAAGAAAAAAAGAAAGAAAGGGGGGGAACAAAAACAAACAAAAAGAAAAAAATTTTAAGCAAAAAATGAAAACCACACGGCATGCCCCATAAATGGGGCCACTCGGAACTCAGATATAGATGGCTGCTGATTGGCTTGTCCTATGGGAGGGGGAAAGGTAAGAAGAATTAGCAAGACAAACAAGTAGCAGAGAGCTAAGAAGTTTAAAAATTAAAAAACAAAGAAGAAATAAAAATAGGGACAGAGAGAATAAACAGGGTGCTCTAACCTGCCTCCTGGCTAGATCTAGAGGGCAAGAGGGTAAAGTCCGGGCTGAAGGTCTTCAGTGGTCCTAATACCTGAATGGGGCCACTTAGAACTCAGATATAGATGGCTGCTCATCGGCTTGTCCTAGGGGGACAGGAAAAAGGTAAGAATTCTGGGCAAAAGGTCTTCAAGGGTCTTATCCCTGAATGGGGCCACTCAGAACTCAGATAGAGATGGGTGCTGATTGGCTTGTCCTGGCTCCTGGCTAGATCTGGGGGACCGGAAGGTAAAGTCTGGGCAGAATGTCTTCAGTGGTTCTAATCCCTGAATGGAGTCACTATAGATGGCTGCTGATTGGCTTGTTTTATGGGCCGTTTTGTAGCAGATATTTATTTTCTGGGTCATTCACTATCTAGAGTCCATTTCTTAGATTGTCTATCTATTAGTTTGTATTTTTCATTTCAGAAATGCTTACCAGGTCTGGCAATAAAGGTACTCAACAAATATTGGATGAACAAACATATATGAAAGTTATCTATTGATGATGATGTACATGGTAATATCTTTGACTTGATGGACAAGCACTGCATGCATGCTGGGAAAAAACACACTGCAAGCTTAAAGATGTACAATGATGAAGTGTAAATTTAAAAACTAAATTTTTAAAAACAAAGAAAAATCCATGTAATGGAATTTAGAGCCTAGATAAACATATAATAAATATTAATTTTTATTTAAAAAAAAAGACTGGAAAACAATAAACTGAAAAATGAAAGTAAGTTTACTTTCTGAGTGATGGGTTTATAAGTGATTTGAGTTCTTTCTTCATAGTTTCTTAAATTTTCCCCCTTTTTAAGTGTATTTATCCATTCCATCAGTGAAAGGGACAGTGAGAGAAAGAGAGATACAGCATGCCTGATTGGGTCCTGATGTCATAATCCACCCCTCAGCTTCAGCCAGCCTCAGATTATGGGCACACCTGGGCTCAGCATACGCAGGGAAGTTTCCAGACAAATTGGCAATGTTTTCATGTGGTTCTGCCTCACAGAATGCAGTGTTTTACTGCTGCTAATGTCCAGACCCTTTCTATAGTTTTGGTTTTCTATATTAGCATTGTATTGCTTTTTTAGTAAGAAAAAAAGCCAGGAACAGCAGATGGTGTAATGGTTACATTGCTGGACTTCCCTGTAGTTGACTGTGGTTCAAGTACCAGACCCAGTAGCTTAAAACTCGTGCCAGGAGCATGTGCGTGCATGCTCAAAAAGTGATTGCAGTGTGACTATTCCTT